CATGACTGCTGCTATTTCAACCAATTACAAAATACCCAATAAGATATAAAAGAGTTAAAGAATACGATCAGGTATATAAACAAAATATTAACACTATGTGTAGTGTAGCTAACCTTACATATACAAAGCAGACTGTAGAGACCCTCTGACAGATACGACTTGTTACAGATGCTGCTGACTCTCCTGATTATTCATTCATAAAATCATCAGTTGTTCGCTTCCAGTGCGTTTCACCGTTTCCTCCTAATTCTGCTCTTTACTCCCAGATATGCGCTCATGTCCATACATCACTGTGTCTTTCTGTCCCCTCTGCCTCCTCCGTCTGAGTTTGAGAGTATGTGTGTGAGAGCTGAATGCAAGAAGAAAAAAACATAACACTACATGATGCACGAGGTTCTTCATTCGATGGCGTGTGAACGGGGATCCACAGGGGTCAAACGGTTGTTTTTACTAGATAACATGAAGGAAAGCTCTTCCTGTGTCCGTCTCCTCTCTGGCAGTGCTTTACTCACACTCTTCTACATTCCCTGCACTTTACTGGTTTGTTATCGTGGCTGTAGAGTTACAACACGCTGTAATGGTACATGCGGTTAGCAGTGTCTGAAATTAACCTTCTGACTGGTGAGTCCAGATGAACTAAAGATGATGAAAATGTGCAGCTGTAGTTGAAATAGTTAAGAAACACGGCGCCTCATGCAAGAACATTTTCATATCCTTATCCTGAACTTCTCTTACTACGTTCTGCCTTTAGTTTGTTTGTACGAGAGCTTCATTTAACAAACTCTCTTAGCTGCACAAACACGTCGTAAATAGGGAACGATTATTTTCAGTATCGACTAATCTGCCTAATATTTTTACGATTAATCGTTTAGTCTACAAAATGTCAAGAAATTGTGACAATTGCTCATCACAGTTCTCCAGAGCCCAAAGCGACGTCTTCAAATTGCTTCTTTTTTTTAAACAAACAGTCTAAAAACCCAAAGACTCTTCATTTACCATCATTAATGACAAAGAAAAGCAGCAATTATTTACATTTAAGTAACTGTTGCAGCTCTAGTCGTAAGCGGCTTGTTTCAGCCTGTTGATGATGATGATGATGGTTTGTGAGATCTCATCAGAAGCCCTAAAGTTGCCACGGAAGACTTCATGTTCAGCTCTGTTTCTGGGAGGGTTTCGTTCACAAACATGTTACCAAAGAGTAAGAGAGAAGACGCTCACACTGCAGAGCTTCAAGTCCTGCTGATGGAAATGAGCAAACTAATCCAGCAGTGTCCGTTTAGTGGGATTAGAGGACAGCTGTTAGTGACGCTCGCTTAGAGCAGCGCTTTACTGTGACAGACAGACAGAGGGAAATATTAGACGAGATAATATTAAAGCTTTTAGCAGGTGATGTTACAGCAGAGGATGCGCTGCAGAAAGACTCTGAAACTACTGAAGTTGTCCTAGTTATGTTTTATTTTTGTATATTTAAACTCCAGATTCAGTCAGATTAAGGTGTTATGAGTTCAGGTCTGACTCGTCCGACAAATCTTTCCTCTGACTGGTTCTTGCATGGGGCCCGTTGTTTATCCTCCTGTAAATTGAGCTACACGTTTCATGTATGTCATGTACCAAAACCAGGTTACGTGTCTTTTAGATTTCAGCTTGTTTACCCTCTTATACGACCGAACAGAGCTCAGTATAAACAAAAGCTTTCAGCTGCGAGTGACTCAAACAATTACCAGCCAGTGTTTCCAGAGGATTTTTACCACCAAAGCTGAATCATACCAGCGCTTTGCAGACAGCTGTGTTGATTTCAGACATTGAAATGTCACCTGGAGTGCTTCAGTCATATCTGTTATTCTGTCGCCACACAGACTGTAAGGCCTTCACATCCACGCAGCCTTGATGCTCTGATCCTGCAGCCCAGCAAACCCTGCTCGATTACCAGCTCCATGTTTTCTGAACTAGTCCTTATTTATTTTTTTCCCATGAGCCAACTGTGAAAAGGGCTAGAGCACATACTGACGCAGTTCTGTATGTCGGCCGTGTATTTAATTAATATTTATTTTCTGAAGTATTGCTTTCACCGAGCTATGCAGTAACAGTAGTAGGGTTATTTATTATGACAAGAATTTCATTGTGAATCGTGTTGTTTTTTTAAATTGTTCTTTGTCCTCGGCCGTCCGTCCCGTCCACCTCAGCAGCTCTGCATGTGGCTAATGAACGGATGCTGTTTCAGTGTAAACGGATGAGAAGGGTTAATAAAAGGCATCAGTGGAAACATGTGACAGTAACAGATGAACAGGTACAGCTTTTAAAGGAGGGTACTGGTGTCCTTACACATGACTGTCCACTTATTGTCGTCTCCAGAAGCTTTACATGTTCCTGTATGCAAATTCTCTCCAGATGTTGAATTTACAGATTGTTTTATAAGTTCTTAAATGCAACCTTGTTTGTAGGCGGCATGTTTTTGAGGAATCAGACTTGAATTTTCTTCATGACACAAAAACACTCCGGTATTATCCTTTAAAGTCATGTTTCTTTGTGTCAACGGTGTCCCTGCTGTCCACACACTCGCACACAAACACAAACCTCTTGAGTCCTGAGAACACAGCTTTACTGTGTTCATGCGACGCCACAGGGGGTTTGTCCGTTTGGGGAGATCTTTGTGGCGCTCGGTAGAAGTCTTGGGTTGTGTATTTTCCACGTCGACGCCTCCTCAGCAGTGGGAAGTTGCGTGACTTCATATAAAGCAGCTTTGATTTCAAAATGTTTGAAAGCAAAAAATTACAGAAATTGCGTTATGTGCTGCAACTAACGATTATTATAAATCAATTAATTGTTTTAATGTAAAAAAAAAAAATGTCCAACTGATGTCTTTAAATGTTTTGTTTCGTTCGACCAACAGTCCAAAACTCAAAGATTCTCATTTACTGTCAAAATATGACAAAGAAAAGCTGCAGATCGTCAGTTTTGAGAAGCTGGAACCAGCAAATATTTGATATATTTGCTTAAAAAATGTCTGAGACAACTATTGTATTATGAAAAAATAGTTGCAGATAAATCAATCAATTCAGTCCACTAATTGCTGCAGCTCTAACAAGCTGCCGTTGCTCTGTAGCAACATCATTTTTTACAAACTTTTTGTCATTAGTTTATAAAAATCTGATTCACAGAAGCTAAATGACACTAAAGAAAACTAAACATTTATGTTTATCTACATGTTTTTATTTCTCACATGCTTTGGCAACATAAACGTCCCGTTGAACTGAAGTAAAAGAAAAATAAACTTAATTTCCCCCTAAAATTTAAAAACTTTTCTGCTTTCAAACATTTTTATTGCTGCAGTTTGTTCACATTCTTCATGTTTTAAGGTTCAAGTAAATTTTTATTTATATAAATGTCACATATTTTCGTCGAGGGGGGGGGGCTTCAAAACATTTCATATTATTGATGTTCACACTGTTTTAGCACTTTTTTCCGCTCCAGTACAACCACACAAGTGTCACACGTTGTAAAACGCACCAATGATCACACTGTCCGAGGCAGGTCTTTAGCTCCACGTCTCCTTTTGCGTCACCGTACTCTGCATCCTCTCGCCGCTCCTCCTCCTCTCATGTTGCTCTTAAAAGAAGAAACGTGTAACCGATGACGTACTACTGTCCTGACCTGAGGCACATTCATTCATTCATTCATTCATTCATAGCGCAGCATCCTTTAGTCCTTCAGTCTGTCAGTAGGAAAACAGAGTAGAGGATTAAAAAAATAAACATACCTTGCAACAACGACTGTATCTGAAAAAGAAAGTGAAATCAGATTAACATATCTTAATAATAATCTGAGTAGAAACTCTTTGGAAACGATTTGTAACTTCTTTCCAGAAATAAATGTTCATATTGGTCAACTTTCAGCTGGCTGCCCGAGTGCTTTTATATCAGCATGTGTGTTTCTGACTCGGTTTGTTATAGAAGGAGCTCTGTGAGTATTGTGACGGCTAGAGCTGCACCAAACGATCATTTTCATTTGGATGAATTTGTCAATTATCTGAATTTAAGTTGTTTTTATTGGTCTTTGAAGTGTCAGAAAATAGTGAAAATGCTCATCACAAGTTTTTAGAGTATCTACATGTGTTGTTTTGTCTGATTAACAACAGAATTACAACAGAGGGAATCTATAAATCCTCACGTTTAAGAAGCTGGAATCAGTGAGCGTTTTTAATTTCAGTTTGATAAATGGCTTCAATGATGATGAAGATACTTGACAGTAAGTTTTCTGTTGACTGAATCGATTGATGTTCCTGCAACAGTGGGTGAAAAAATAAATACTTCTACTTCCTCTCCCCTACATCTCAGAGGAAAATGGTGTATTTCACTACAGCAATCTGACAGCTTTAGTTTACACATGAACATTTTTACACAAAACAAAGAGCTTATAAACTGAACTTTACACAAGTACAGCTGAAGCGATTAGTGGATTGATTTTTAAATTTATAGGCAAATGAATTGATAATTTTAAGGGTTTTTTTGTCCTGTGAAAACATTTGATAGTTTCAGCTTCTCACATGTGAAGATTTTCTGCTTTTTTCTCTGAACGACTGGGATGTCTGTAAATAACTGAGTTAAGGTTTGGACACAACGAGCATTGTGAAGGTGTCGCTCTGGGTTTGACTGTGATGGCAGAATCTTTACAAACCAAACAAGCTTAACAATTACAGCAGCAGCATCCTGCTTTTACATTAATGCATGAGGAATATTGATCTGATGAGAGAACATATAAAAGTCAGGACATTTTACTGCTTTAACACTTCTACCACATACTTTTCCATACATGTACATTTTCTTCATTATAATTCCACTTAGAGTAAAACTTTTAATGCAGGACTTTTACTACTAACAGAGTATTTTTACAGTGTTTTAGTACTTCTGGAAAAAGCGTCTGATGTTTTGAGTAACAGGTGAAGAAAAACGCGCATGCGCCGTTGCTCACATCAGCCCTCCGGCTTACCGTATAAAAGCGAAGCGTTGTGGACGAACATGTCATATGTGAAACTGGTGAGTTTTGTTACGATTGTCACCTTTTGACACCTTTAACATCATGTATTTAATACGCGGTGGCTGATACCTGGTGTTGTGTATGCTTGTGGTGTTACACACTGATATTGTTACAATACAAACTTAGTGAAACGTTGGTGAAATGAGTCAACAGCTAACGTTAGCATGTCGTTAGCTCCTGTCGCTAACACAGGTCAGATAAGGTGACCTGTTTCCCTCTTTGTTCAAGACTATGCGGGGTTAAATGGTGCGTTTTAATTTCCTCTCGCGGTTTAAAGTGTCTGAATTAATAATGATGAATGTAGTAACTGACAGTAGAGCCTCGTTTAGCGCTTCCCCAGTTAGCTTTAGCCTCACCAGCTGTGTGTGTCTTCTGCCGGTTGGCCGCCAGGTGTCGCTGTTGGTCGGAGCTCCGGGTGTGACGGCGCTGCTGAGCGGCTCAGTGCAGGCGGCCAGCGAGGCGAAGAAGAAGAGCTCCCAGCCCGCTCTGAGCATCGATGAGGTGGGTCAATGTTTTAATATATCAATACACGTGTTCATACCTGACAGGACGGTCTGTTGTTAATTAAACTTATTTATAACTGTGGAAAAATGTTACAGCAGCAAAGTCACTTCAATCAGAGAACAGTTGGGATGTAATACAGAAACCTGAAGTAGTATTATACTACATAGGTCTGTCCTAGTATTGTATCAGTCAAGTATAAAGTCAGTAAACATATGTTCACTAAAAGACAAGGTAAGTTACACACAGAATATTTTAGTTTAAGACTGAAACAGATAAACTGCCAAGGGACACATTTATTGTCCCCACAGAGAAAACAACTGTAGGTGCTGCAGAACTGAACCGTGTTTCTCCTTCGTCTCATGTCCTCTTTTGTTGGACCTGCGACTTTGCATAGATGGCATAAACAAACAGTGTTGTTGATGCGTCTTGTTTCAAAACAGAGAAGTAATTCATGTATCAGTGGATTCTACGTTAACACAGACTTTCCTCTCGTTGTTTCTTGTTTAGCTGCCGTCGTTATACACCATCCCTGAAGCAGAGCCTCGCCATGTGGAGCCAGAGGCGGGGACGGTGGAGCAGAGCGTCGCATCGCTGAGGAAATGGGCCGAACCGTACACGAGCCAGTGTCAGGTGTGTTCATACATCACCTGTCAACAAAGATATTCAGGAGTAGCTTAACAAATCTCTGGAGGGGGGGACGACAAGAATTTAATGCCAACGAAGGTTAAAATCAAGGGCAACTGGACTTGGTTGAAGACACTGGAAGACGTTTCGTCCCTCATCCAAAGGACGTCTTCAGTTCTGACTGACTGGCAGGGAAACTCAGCTATTTAACCTCAGTGGGGTCGTTGGCCCGGGTCATCGATACCGCTGGTTCGTTAGTGTCCCTTGTTGCTGTGACGCATACACTAGATTGCTTTTCTTGTGTTTGGGTGTGCGGTCTTTGGGGTGGACCAGCACGTGTCTGTTTCTCTGATACTCCAGACACGTATGGAATCACAATGTTGTTGCGTTTGACCTTCTTTTCCTCCCCTGTAGTTTTGTTCTTCTTGGATCTTGTGGCTGTTTTCACAAAGGTCCATTTAGGGTATCCACAGGCTGTAAGTGCCCCCTTCAGGTGGTTCTGTTCCTTCTCTCTGGCTTGGGCGCTTGTTGGTATGTTTTCCGCTCTGTGGTGCAGTGTTCTCATGACCCCTAGCTTGTGCTCCAGTGGGTGGTGGGAATCGAAGAGTAGGTATTGGTCTGTGTGTGGGTTTTCTGTAAACACCAGTCTGCAGGCTCCTGTCCTCTTCAATGTGGACAGCGCAGTCCAGGAAGGCCAAACTGTTGTTGTGAACATCTTCTCGTGTGAACTTGATGTTACTGTCCACAGAGTTGATGTGTTCTGTGAAGGCTTGCACTTCCTGGCTTTTGATTTTGACCCAGGTGTCGTCCACATATCTGTACCAGTGGCTCGGTGCTGTTCCTCTGAAAGAGTTGAGGGCTTTATTCTCCACTTCTTCCATGTAGATGTTGGCCACAATCGGGGATACCGGTGAGCCCATGGCACAGCCATGCTTCTGTCTGTAGAATCCTCCGTTGTACTGGAAGGAGGTGGTGTTTAGACAGAGGTCGAGTAATTTGCAGATTTGGTCGGGGCTGAGTCTAGTTCTGTTGTCCAGGGTGTTGTCTTGTGTTAGCCGTTTCCTAACGGTTTCTACTGCCTCTATGGTGGGGATGCAGGTGAACAAAGAGTAGTCCTAACGACTCCCATTAATGCAAAAAATATATTCACATGAGTTGAGAAGCAAAGCATCTGCACATGCAGCTGATGCATATTTATCACTTTATTTCCAAGTGGCTCACAGGAGCAGCAAGTCATGCAGAAACTGTCCCGCTCACGCTTTAAGCTGAAGTCTTAACTTTGTCAGATGAGTCGTGAGCAAGCAGCGCTGATTCTTTTATCCTTTATTTTGTTACATTGTTGTTGTCTGGTAGTTTTCGAGGAATGTGTTAAATTTTAAAAAGGCTAAAATTTCAGCATGCAGTTGAGTGTGACAGTCTGTCTGATACAAAGACCAATCTGCTGAACCGGGAAAGTCTCATGAAACTCGAATCACATCTGTTTGAGTTCAGTGTCCGTTCGGCTTCTCTGATCCTGCGGGATTTAACACTTTCTGGTTTGCTTCATATTTACGTGTGCAGGAACGCTTGGACTATTTTTAATACTGAACTGTCTGAGGAAACATTAAGAAAACAAAATGTTGGAAAGACAAACTCAAGTGAGCTGGGACCTTCAACATTTGTCCCTCTGAACAAAGAAGGAAAAATACTCATTATTTCACTCTGTCTTCAGATTGTTGATCAGTTCATCGTGAGGTAAAAAATATCAAATGCTGTGTAAATAAATTAACTTGTTTGTCTTTGTTTGCAGCAAACGGTCCAGGCTGCAGTGGACAAAGTTGAGGTTAGTGACGTTATGTTGTTATGTAACAGTACCGGATGACCGACGTCTTCACTTTGACAGTCGGCACTTAAACGTGTCCGAACCGTCGGTGACCTGGTTTCAGGAGGTCGATGATATTCTGTGGACACGTCTGCTGTCCATGTGACCCTTCAGTCATTTCACTCTTTAAACGTCAGTTTGACTTGTTAGTCCAACTAAAACTGTCTGAGCCTCTCAGCCCTGTAAACACGTTTAACAGTTCTGCTGACTGTAGAACGACTCTTTGTGATATTAAGAGTCTGAATTATTATGTGTATTATGATGGAGTCGTGTGGCTCCATAGGCTGGATAAGTGCTATCAGATGAAAGTAACCTGCTCTTCTGTCTCCGTTTCTGTCGACTAATGATGATTGGATCCCAGCAAGCGTACAGGACTGTGGAGCCCACAATCACCACCTCCAAAACAGCAGTCACAGGTGAGAAAACAACTGTTTTTCAGATATCGCTCAGTCTGTCAGCCGTCTTCGCTCAGTCTGCTTCAAAAAACAACATGCAGTTCAACCACTCTGGTCTCTTCCCACTGACACCATTAGAAGCCTGTGAAGTTTGTATATAAACTTTCATCACTGGAATATACGTCCTAGATATCGTCTCCTTTGCTGGGAAAATCTTATTATTAATAAATTAGCACCTCCTGTGTTTACCACATTCTTCCTTCATGTTGAGGATAGATTAATAAGAATAAGAGGGGGGAAAATATCTTTTGCTCAGACAGATTTTACAGGGACAGGCTCCCAGGTTTGGAACATCCCCCCATTAAATATACAGTATAGAGTCTGGTACAGGTCCTTTTTGCATTTAATCTTTAAACTGGGTTAAAAGCAGCCGTCCCTGTCTGCTGGCCCTGTCTGCTCTTTTTGCTTTTTGTTTGTCAGCCTGCGTCACTTCTGCGTCAGGTCTGTAACCTCATGTCATTGTTTGGTATTGAGCGCCTGCAGTGTACATGTCCTACTTTGAATGACGCCGTTCTCCTGTAAGCTCTTTATCCTGTTCAGCTGCTTCATGTTTGGCTTCCTCCTTTTTCAAATTGTACATAGTGTGTTGGATTGTTGTTGTTGTTGTTTTAATAGCTAATTTAACGTCAGGCCAGTTAGAAAAATGAGCCTTTTGGCTAACACTGGCAAATTTACTGTGATGCTGGTCAATGTGCACGGTCCCTGAAATTAAATGATTGTAAAGCTCTTCTTTTGTTTTTCAGATGTGTACCAGTTCCTCAGTGACCCTCCTCCTGACCTCTACCCCAGTGTAGCAGTGGTCGGCTTCTCCGGCTTCCTGGGACTCTATTTGGCCAAAGGTGACCTTTGCACTTAAAACATGCACGCACGCACGCACGCACTCCTTCACAGCTCCTCGAGCAATACGATGGCTCAGTCACACCACCATACAAATCTTTAAGGTACTTTAAAAGGAAAAATCTGTTACAGTTTTTCAGTCTGTTGCAGAGGAGTCATTTTGTAAAATAACTCAAGGTAATTACAGTTCAGGCCAGTTTTTGCTAGTGTGTGTTTTGTTTAAGTGTCTTTTTGGGACTACGTGTAAATCCCAATACAATTTTCTCTTTCAGGAGAGAATAAAAAGACAATTCATTCTGATCTATTAAATCTAAATTGGGTGTAAAATGAGTCTACGTGCTTCTCCTTGGACCGTATTTCTGCCTGTATGATAATGGCTTCTCTCTAAAGAAGAGGTTTTCAGACTGTGGGGAGGTGTGGGAGAGTTGAAGGGGAGAAATGAGGGAGAGATGTGAGGCTAAGATAGTGTGTGAGGTGAAAGAGACGTGTCTGAAAACAACAGGAAGTTAGAAGGTACTTTAAAACCTGGAGCCGTTGGATTACAGCCAAAAAGCATCACACACTCCTCAGTCAGGTCATAACATGCAGACATAAAACACATTAATATCATTCAGTGAGACTGAAACTGTCCGAGGATTTCTTTATATCAAATTACGTTCATAATGTATATCCTCTTAGAAACACAGAAAGAAGATGCTCCTTTTAACTCCAGAAACCTACCTGAGAATCATAGTTTTAAGTTTGTCTGACAAAGTGAACCTCCCAAACAAATCAAAGCCACACCTGATAACTGTTTAAACTGGGTTGATTTTCCTGCGCTTGACAAGTTAGAAACTCTGTAAACATGGAATGTCAAAAAGCCAACGAGCTGTTCATTAGATCAGTAAACCTTCACTTGTAACTCTGAAAGCTGTTAAAACATCTCTCTTTCAGGCTCCAAGGTGAAGCGGCTGGTGTTTCCAGTTGGACTCATGGCTCTGAGTGCCTCCATGTTTTACCCTCAGCAGGCTGCGACCTTACTCAAGGTGCGTGTTATATTGTTACATATATCGTCTTCTAGATCACGATATCGATAATTATCAGGATAAATGTCAAATCTTTATTTCTTTCAAGTTTTAAAGGCTGATTTTTGCTCCTAAGTGAAAGTTGCAGAAATCTGATGCTTAATTGTGATTTTAAACTTTTCTTTATGTTCAGAACAAACACTTGATGCCAGACAGTGGATCGCTTCACAAATCTGAAATCTCAAAATAATTATTTTAATAGTAGTAAGTGCTAATTCGATCGTGATTCATATTAATTAAATCAAAGTTATTCAAAATTATATCAGGATAATTGTTGTTTTTATTGCACACTCCTCCTAGATACAGTATGACACAACAGAAACAGTGAACATGTGGGAGCGACTGAGCTGCATTCAGAAAACTAACAATATTTATATACATGAGTTACATCTGTTTGCATCGGAGTGGGCAGCTTCTCTTTCCTTGAGTGTGTAGCTGGATTAAAATCACAGCCAAGTGGACCAGGGACCTGTCAACTCCCTTTGTAATTAATCTTCCTGTTGCTGCTTCTCTCAAATTGAATCTGTCTTTCGTTTAGGACTTTTAAATAAAGTTTCCATCGGTAGTTCACTCCTTTTGCCATCAGTAGAAACTGTTGCAGCTGTTTGGCTCTGGAAGAAAGTCATCCAGCATGTTTTCCTCCAAATCCAATAAGTAGAGAAGACTTCAGCTCAGTGAAGGTCTGATTGATTATACTAACATCTCTAATGATTTAGTGAAATTTAAATGGTACATCTAGAACTTTACAGTAAGTGGCTGCAAAGATTTTATTTTATTTTTTTAGTTAATCTCAATAGAAATCACAAGTGAGTTCACCCAGCGTCACTGACTCTGTTGCACCTGGAGTACAGTGTGACATAATCACAGTGAGGTGAGAAACTAAGGGTCGGCAAAAACAAGATTTTCAGCTGCTGTGAAGCTGCTCTTTGAGAGGCTCATTTAGAAAGTCACTCAATCCCTTCCTGCATCAAACTAAATGATCTGATTATCAGTTTAATCTTGCAGCTCTCTTTCTGATTTGGTATCCATTTGTTTGCTTGGCTGATGTTTTCTTGTGTTTACACCAGGTGAGTCGGGACTCTGCGTACACCTGGGCTCAGCAGGGCCGCGTCACCCTGGAGACTCTTTGGAAAGAGCCACCGTTTGGCAAAAAGAAGGTGAGTCTTCTGCCGGCACTCTGTGTATTGATGTTACGGCTGTTCTGACTTTTGTGTCTTTTACTGTTTCATCTCGCGCACATTTGTTGTTGATCTTTGTTGTCAGTTTATATATTTATATGTACACGATATTCTCTTCCGTTACGTTACTTCTGCACGGCACAGACCCAGAACAATGCACATGTGTATATATCTGCAACGTTGTTTGTTCTATAAATTTCCACATTTATGTATGTTTGTGTACGTGTAGCACCTTGTCACCACAGCAAATTCCTCGTATATGTAAAACAGTACTTGGCAATAAAGCTCCTTCTGATTTTTTTTTTTATTTTTTTATTTTTTCTCTTTGTGTTTTGGAGAAGAAAGAGCGAACAGAGAGCAACGACTCGAGGAGCTGAGACGGCGTGAAGACACACACCTATCCAACCTGCCAGACTCTCACCTTCAGGAACACTCGAACCTGTACGACTGCTGTAGAGGAAGGATGCCTTTACCTTATTCACACATGACCAAACTCAAGTTAGATTTATTCCAGAAACGTTTGTGTATGTGTGTTGATGTGTCTGTTCCTGAAACCACTTCTGCCTCCTGAACACCTGCTCCAAGAAGCCGGTCCACTCATGTGTCTGATGACTGCAGGTTTCCAGATAACTCTGTGAATCTGCTTCTTGGATTATTCCTCAGCGCTGCTTCTCTGTAATCATTCCTAGTTGCTCCTACAGTGATTTCAGCTCTTTCTCAGTTTGTCTTTATTCAACAAAACAACCTGCACTTATGCAGTTGAAGCCTCACAACACAACTCAACAGTTTTAGTATCTCTCTGTACCGGTTCCCAAATGTGAGAGTTTACTATCAAGCCAGACAAGGAAAAGGAGCAAACTGAATATCTTTGGGTTTTGCACCGTTAAACCGTAATTAAAAGACACCAACTTTTTATTTTCTGAGCTTTAAATGGAAAAATTGCTTAACCAGTGAGTCAGTAAAATAATTTAAAAGAGTAGTTCAACATTTTGGGGAAATGCATTCAATTTCCTGCTGAGCGTTAGAGGAAGAGATTTGATTTGATTTGATACAACTCATGTCTGTACAGCAAATATAAAGTTGAGGAGAGTTGCTGGTTAGCTTAGCATAAAGACTGAAAACAGCTAGCCTGTCTCTGGCCAAAGGTAATAAAACCCGCCTACCACCACCTTTTGTTTAACCTGTTGAAAAACTGAAGTGTAAAAACAACATGTGGTTTCACAGGCGTCATGTGCCTGACTAATTCTTCTCAGAAAGTTTCAGCTGGTAGGTGGGTTTTGTTAAATGTGGACAGAGCCAGGCTAGCCGTTTCCAGTCTTAATGTGAAGCTAAGCTTAACCAGCTGCTGGCTGTCCCTTCATAGTAACAGTAGAGATATTAGAGTAGTACAGTATCATTTCTCTCAGAAAGAGAGCGAAAATGCGTATTTCCCAAAATGTCAAATTATTTCTTTTTAAACAGTTCTGATAAGCCAACATCAGTCATCTTGGTTAGCATCATTGATTAGCATTTAGTCAGTAAAGTGTATCCTCAGGTAGAGCTAACGTTGCTGTCCTGTCACACTGTGAGCAGAGGGGCTGACTGTAAAGGCTTCATTCATTCAGTTTCATTCTGACACGGTATGAAGCCAAAGTTTCTTCTCTCTGCTGAGTGCCACTTTGATCTTGGCAAGGGCAGCTTTCAACAGTTTCTTTTCTCAAACAAGATCATTAAACGTTTAGTATTTGTTTCAAACAGTAATTTATTTAAAGTTTGATGCTAATAAAACTGCTTTGCAGCTTGACTTACTTAGCAATTAACTGAATGACACTGTATATATTGTCCATGTGTAATAATGCACCTGTAAATACTGTGAGAAGTTTAATCTTAATGCTACATAATTAAATCTAGCACGTGATGTCTTTCTTTGTCAATTATTTAAACAAACGCACACATTGACATTTGTCAAATAGGGATGATTACTGACTGCTGGGCGGTGAAATTTCACATCCTCAGTGACATCATGAAATCCAATGATACTCCGTCACATCCGGAGGAATACAAAGGGATGATGGTAGACTTGACTCCACTTGTTATTATTTCCCTGTTAGTCACTGCAGGTTGAAGCTGACAACTCCCCCACCTTTCTCATCATTCACACTCTGATAGATCATCTCCAGCTGATGAGAAAAGACAGACAGCAGAAGTCATAAATCAGAGTTTACAGAGACTCCCTTCATCAGCTGTCAGTCAGTGATGCAGCACATCCAGTATAAAGACCAGCAGGGATTTCTGTCCCGTTCAGACCAGAAGTGGGCTGACTCCAACCTTCTACTGACCTCAGGGTCTCCAGTCTGAAGAGTGGACTCTCCACCAGATCAGAAAGCAGCTTCACTCCTGCATCTCGCAGCTTGTTGTCGCTCAGCTGCAGCTCTCTCAGATGGGAGGGGTTGGACTTCAGAGCAGATGCCAGAAAAGCACAGCTGATCTTTGACAACCCACAGCCCAACAATCTGAATAATATATAAAAAAGAATAAATGGAGATAATAATTATCCATATAGTCCAATAATCATAATCGCATAATCGCTTTTCCCTATAATGAGTAGAGGGACTTTTTGTTATTGTGGATCATTATGATGTCAGCCTTCTACTGACATCCTAATGTCAGCACAACATTCATAAACCTATTCATGTCAACACAGATCAATAACAAGCTGCTGATTTCAGGCCAGTCTGGACCTAGAGGAGGAAAATATCGATCCTTCAAACAGCTGCATTTGGAAATATGATTTGATGTGTGTGTGTGTGCCTTTTTTTTAAATAAAATGGACATCTAAGAAATATTTACTTCAGCAGAAAAGTTTTTCAATTTAAAACAAATATTAGATTAGATGATTTTCTGTAAACATTTACAAAGAAACTGGAAATTTTCTACAATTTCTTGAAGAAAAAAAAGTCTTTGTGACTGCAGACTAAATTTAGTACAAGAAACATGAATAAAAATATGACCTAAAGGACATTTACAACTTTATGGATGTAAGTTATGTATGAACATAAATGTGGTTCATTTGTAAGTCAAACATATAATCGTAGGAAAAAGTATGTCATCCCTTTGGAATCACTTGGATTTCTGCAAAAAGTGGTCATAAAATGTAATCGGATCTTCATCTAAGTCACAACAATAGACAGTCTGCTTAAACTAATACCACACAAACAATTATATATATTTTTTCATGGGAGGACACTATGGAGGAAGGGAAAAACCCTTGCTGCATGTCTGAAGTTTGCAAAAGAGCACCAGGATGTTCCACAGCACTACTGGCCAAGTATTCTACATAGGGATGAAACCAAAGTTGAGTTGTTTAGAAGGAAAAAAGGCACAGCACACCAAGATCAAAACCTCTTATCAAGTGTGAAGTATAGTGGAGGGGGTATCATGGTTTAGGACGGTTTAGGACGGTTTTGCTACCTCGGGGCCTGGAAGGGATACCATCATCGATGGAAATATTAATTCCAAAGTTTATCAAGCATTTTACAGGAGAACGTAAGGCTATCTGTCCGCCAATTAAAGCTCAACAGAAACAGGATAATGACCCAAAGTACAGAAGTAAATCAACAACAGAATGGCTTCAGCAGAAGAAAATACACCTTCTGGAGTCAGAGTCATGACCTCAAGAGAGCGATTCACACCAGACATTCCAAGAATATTGCTGATCTGAAAAAGTTTTATAAAGAGGAATGGTCGAAAATTCCTCCTGACCGTTGTTCCGGTCTGATCTGCAACTACAGGAACCGTGGTTGAGGTTATTGCTGCCAAAGGAGGGTCAACCTGTTATTAAATCTAACGGTTCACATACTTTTTCCTATGACTGTATTAGATCTACAATAGTAACAGAGAGTAAGTAAACTGACCTCAGAGTCTCAAGTCTACAGTACGGACTCTCCAGAAAACCACACAGCAGCTTCACTCCTGAATCCTGCAGCTTGTTGTGACTCAGCTGCAGCTCTCTCAGATGGGAGGGGTTGAACTTCAGAGCTGAGGCCAGAGAAGCACAGCTGATCTCTGACAAACTGCAGGAACTCACTCTGAATAAAGAATAAAAACTGTAACTTTAGAAGACAATATTCCTGCTTGAAATCATTCAGCATTTAATAATATGTTCAGAGCTGAAGAAGGTTTAGAATGTAGAAGTTTAGAAAATGGAAACTCCAAACACCTGAACAAACAGGATGCAGGTTCAAACTGTAAAATACTAAAAGGTAAAAAGAGCTCTCATTAATATTAATGACAACGTGCTGCTACTTCAGTAAAGACGTAGTGACTTCACCTCTTAAACTCTGCAGCTCCACCAGTGGCTCCATCTATACAAACTCATGTGCAGCCAAACACAAACAAAAAACCCAAGAAACTGAATTAGGATTCGATTCCACTCAAGATCCTAAAGTTTTCAAAGATGCCAAATATGTCAGAAAGAATTTGGGGGAAATTTGAACAAAAGGCATCGACAGTATTTCTTTTAGGAATAATGTAGTCATAAAATCAAAGCTTCTTCACTTTAAACTATTCAGTCAGTATAAGCATCATTTTGCTTCATAACAATGCTGGAAAAAGCAAATACTGAATATATTTGTTATTGTCTGATAGTTGAAATAGAGATTATTTACTTATTCTTTGTATTTATGTGTTTTTATTACCATTTCTTTAAAACATGATGTGGAAGATGAGATGAAAATCAGGAGTTTAAGAGGTTCAGAGTGAATTACCCAGTGGAGATGTTTCTTGTTATATTAAGGTTTTAAATGTGGAGCTCAACATTGCTCTGCCACAGTCAATGGACTAAACCACTGAAGAGGAAAACTGAATTTAGCATTAAGATACTGTGTGAATCAGTATAATATCAGCCTTATGTCTGCAGTTCAGTGTCACCAAAACTTTCACATCATATAAATCTCAGCACAGAAGTAAAAAATGGAGTCTGACCTCAGAGTCTCCAGTCTACAGTGTGGACTCTCCAGAAAACCACACAGCAGCTTCACTCCTGAATCCCGCAGCTTGTTGTCACTTAGCTGCAGCTCTCTCAGATGGGAGGGGTTGGACTTCAGAGCTGAGGCCAGAGAAGCACAGCTGATCTCTGACAAACTGCAGAACCAAAATCTGAATAAAGAATAAATGATGTAACTTTAGAAGACAATGTTCCTGCTTGAAATCATTCAGAGATCCTAATGTTCCCAAAGATGCCAAATATGTCAGGATGAACTTCGGGGAAATGTGAACAAAAGACATCTACATTTTAGGAATAGCGAAGTCATCAAATCAAATCTTCTTTAGATTATATAATTTAGTCAGTATAAGCATCATTTAGCTTCATAATAATGTTGGAAAAAGCAAATACTGAATATATTTGTTATTGTCTTATAGTTGAATTATAGATTATGTATTCATCTATTGTATTTATATATTTTTATTATAATTTATTTAAAAACATGATGTGCAATATGAGATGAAAATCAGGAGTTTAAGAGGTTCAGAGTGAATTACCCAGTGGGGATGTTTCTTGTTACAAAGTAAAGTAGTGAATGTACAGCTTATATAACAGTGTAAATTTGCGGTCCCCTCAAAATAAAACATTGCACAGCCATTAATGTTTAAACCGCTGGCAACAAAAGTGAGTACACCCCTAAATGAAAATGTCCGAATTGGGCCCAATTAGCAATTTCCCTCCCCGGTGTCATGTGACTCTAGGGCTGAAACGATTTATCAATTAAATCAATAAAATCGATTAATAAAATGCTTCAAACACAAATTCTTTGCAACGATGCTTCGTTTAATCCACGTAACAGTGTTTCGCACGGACACACAACGCGCTTACGCTGTGAACACGACAGGATTATAATGTAGTCGTTTGCAAAGTGGAGGAAGAGAGAGAAAATGGCGAGGGACAAAGAAGAAAGTGTCCAAAGTATTTTATTATTTCATGCTAAAGAAAACAACATCTCTGTAATGTTACCGTCCGTCCACCGTAAAACAAAACTTATGTCGCCTTGGCAACAGCACGACGGCAGCTGAACAAAATGGTGTTCTGCCAGCAAACCAGAGACAAGGCAACAGTAACAGCAACTTTAGCAATTAACTGAAATCTTGATTGATTGTTGAGTTGAAGGCTAGCCAAAGTAAGCCGCAGGCCTCAGCTGAAAATGTGAACAATTGCGTTTGTTGTTCTCCTTTTTGGGCCGTGAGTTGTAACCTCACAGTCATGAGTTAACTGGGTGTCGGGAGCTGCACTTATTAACTCCCCTCCAGCTCTCTGTAGCTCAGACAATCCCTGCTACCTGCATGTTCTAATCCATCCTTCACCCATATTCTTTGTCTTTATGCAGTTATCTTTATAATAACAAACAACAGCTGTTTCATGTGCAGGATCGCTCATTACTTCTTAAACGACGCATCGTTGAATCGTTGAAATAATCTATCGAAGCTTCGAATACTAAAATCATCATTAGCCCTATGTGACTCGTTAGTGTATGAGGGAGTGTGAGAGCGATAACACCAAATTTAACACACCTGCTCCCCATTCACATCTGAGAGCTTGTGTTATCGATCTCTCACTCCCTCATACTGGTCACTGGATTTCAACATGGCACCTCATGGCAACGAACTCTCTGAAGATTTGAAAAATAGAATTGTTGCTCTACATAAAGATGGTCTTGGCTGTAAGAAGATTGCCATGACCCTGAAACTGAGCTGCAGCATGGTGGCCAAGACCATACAGCGGTTCACCAGCACAGGTTCCACTCAGAACAGGCCTCGCCATGGTCAACCAAAGAAGTTGAGTGCACATGCTCAGCGTCATATCCAGAGGTCGTCTTTGGGAAATAGATGTATGAGTGCTGCCAGCATTGCTGCAGAGGTTGAAGGGGTGTGGGGTCAGCCTGTCAGTGCTCAGACCATACACTGCACACTGCATTAAACTGGTCTGCATGGCTGTCGTCCCAGAAGGAAGTCTCTTCTAAAGATGATGCACAAGAAAGCCTGCAAACAGTTTGCTGAAGACAAGCAGACTAAGGCCATGGATTACTAAAACCTTGTCCTGTGGTCTGATGAGACCATGAATGCCAACATGTACTATGACATACTGAAGCAGAGCATGAACCCTCCCTTCAGAATCTGGTCTGCAAGGCAGTATTCCAACATGATAACGGCCCCAAACACACCTCCAAGATGACCACTGCCTTGCTAAAGAAGCTGAGGGTAAAGGTGATGGACTGGACTAGTGTGTTTCCAGACCTAAACCCTATTGACCATCTGTGGGGCATCCTCAAATGTAAGGTGGAGGAGCGCAAGATCTCTAAAATTCACCAGCTCTGTGATATTGTCATGGAGGAGTGGAAGAGGACTCCAGTTGCAATCTGTGAAGCTCTGGTGAACTCCATGCCCAGGTGGGTTAAGGCAGTGCTGGAAAATAATGGTGCCCACACAAAATATTGACACTCTGGGCCCAATTTGGGCATTTTCACTTTTGTTGCCAGCGGTTTAGACAATAATGGCTAGATAGTGTCTTGTGTTATTTTGAGGGGACAGCAAATTTACACTGTTATACAAGCTGTAAACTCACTACATTGTAGCAAAGTGTAATTTCTTCGGTGTTGTCACATGAAAAGATATAATCAAATATTTACAAAAATGTGAGGGGTATACTCACTTTTCTGAGATACTGTATATTAAGGTTTTAAATGTGGAGCTCAACATTGCTCTACCACAGTCAATGACCACTGAAGAAAATAGAATAGATTTTAGCATTAAGATTCAGCCTTATGCCGGCAGTTAAGTGTCACCACAACTTTCACATCATATATTTTTTTTTACTTCTATGCTGAGATTAATGTCTGACCCAAGATTCTCCAGTCTACAGTGTGGACTCTCCAGGAAGTCACACAGCAGCTTCACTCCTGAATCTTGCAGGATGTTGTTACACAGCTCCAGCTCTCTCAGATGGGAGGGGTTGGACTTCAGAGCTGAGGCCAGAGAAGCACAGCTGATCTCTGACAAACTGCAGGACCACAATCTGATGACAAAATAATGGTTTAGATCAAAATACATTTCTCCCACATTTACAGGCAACTGCAACGTTAACGACTCTGTGGAGTTCCATTAGGCCTTTGAATAACCCTTCCTGAGACCCCCCATATTGGTATAAACACTTTCTCTCTCTTCAAAATGGTGTCATTGTGGAGACTTGCCAGTCAAGACAAGAACTCCTCACCTCTGAGAAGATGCAGTTGTTATCAAGATAATGAAGTCATAACAAGATATGAAAAACCATACAACTTTCCATTGATTGTTTTAGTAAAGAGAAGGGACACACAAACATTTTCCTCTTAACCCTGATGCGGCCTGAGATAACGTTTTCCAGATGCCCGTCATAAAAGATGGAGCAACAAGCCTTAAATAACGTCTTGGGCCAGACTTCCTTCCAGGTAAGAAATTTCCTCTCGTGGTTGTACTTCTTTCGTAGTCTCAAACATGCCAGAGTGCCTGCTGAATAGAAAAAAGCTAATGTGTCCGGTGTGCCGGCGTGCTTATATACGCCTCCAGCTACGCCGTCACACGCTACCGTTCTAGCAACGGCAATAGGATTGGAGTAGTTTCATTCATGATTTCAGCCCTGCCACGCCCAGAGGCGTTCCCATAGTGTCGTCACCGACGCAGTTCGAGTTCCCTCGAATGGGAACTAACTATACTATTTATTATATAGACTATACTAGTTTGGAATGAAGGATAAACAGCTATCTAACCAATAGGTAATCCAGCTAACATTTCTCAGCACAGGTCGTCTTAATCTTTAACACACTTATTTTGGTATGTAGTTCACAGATTTAACCTCAGTGCACTATGTAACCACACTACCATCTACTTGCTAAACATCTCTGTAACCATCACCATTGTGAATATGTTTTGGTTGTTAGCTATTTTACTGTGTTATGTAGAGCAAAACGGTGTTGTTTAACAGTGTGGTGAAATACTCTCGAGTTTTGCACCCATTGCTTGTAACACACAACCCTAATATTGACTGGAAGTCAGCTCAAATAGTCAGTTGGAGTTCTGCCTGCCATGCCTGTTGTCTGCAATCTGCCATGCCTCAGTCTGGTCTCCGCCAGCGTTCCAGCCCAGAAACTCTGGACCTATCCCAGATACCAACTGAGTACCATGTTCTGCTGGAGGTGTTCAGCAAACAATGGTCTCTCTCACTAGCACCACACTGTGCCATCAACCTGCTGCACAGCACATAATTTCCCAGCAGCTGCCTGTACAGCCTCTCCAAGCCCGAGCAACAAGTCATGGAGATTTATCCTAGGACTTGTTGGATGTGGGAATTATCCAACCCTCCTTTTCATTCTTTGGCGCTTGATTTTTCTTAGAAAAAAGACAAGACCCTCCATCCTTGCATTGACTACTGGTGCTCAAACAACATAAGTGATCTGCCCTTGGGTGGTGGTGATGCCACAATGGATAAGACGCATGCCTTAGCTGTGAGAGACCTGAGTTCATTTCCCCACTGTGACCCATCCACCATAGTGTCCCTGAGCAAGACATTTAACCCCTAGTTGCTCCAGAGGCTCTGACACATATAGCAATAGTAAGTCACTTTGGATAAAAGCGTCAGCTAAATGAATAAATGTAAATGGGATCTGTCACAACTTTACATGTCTGACCGCTATTTCATTCAGTTCACGGTATGCCTACAGAATCAGCCCACTGTTCCAACACCCCTGGTCTCACACCTCTGCAATCTGTCTCCCCACCCACTTTGCCTCATGAATAGCTTTCACTCTACCTTCTCTCAACATATTTTTCTTCATGAGGTCAATGTAAACACTGAGCTCATGTCTGAATAGTCACTTGCTCGAACAAGCCCCACCTGAAGCTGTCCGATACCTTCCGCATGTGGCATACCAATCTCAGAGCTGCTGAGAGAAAACAGCAAACAACTAAAGACTCTGCCAGCCTCAAGGGCTACCAAACACTCCTATTCTCCTTCTCAACCAGCACAAGTGCTGCCAAATTAGTGTTCTATAATGACAGAATCAGCAGTGTCAATGACTCAAAAAAATTATTTTCCATTTTCAAATCTCTGCCAAATCCTCGTTTGCCTCCCCCAACCACAAAACTGTTTGCCGATATCTATGCCTCCTTCTTCTTCACAGACAAAATTCTCTAAACCACTCAAAAACATCCGGTCTACTCTGGTCAAGGGCTTAACATTCTCCATGGTTAGCTCCTGCTCTGTGAGCATGGCACCGGAAAATCATGTAGCACCTTGGACATTGACGCAAAAGGCTTAACACCAAGCCTAACAAAGCCGTCTTAGTATATATCCTCCCCTGTCTTCCCTGGTCAATGACATTTCACTCTGCGTTTACTCTTCTCAAGGAAAGTAAGGTATCAGATCTTCTGACTTGTAGCCATCCTACTACATTCCCCCTGAACCCGATTCCTTCCAATCTCCTCCAAGACATATCTCTTGCAGTTGTGCCAGCAATCACTGAGGTGATAAATACTTCTCTGGCTTCGGGAACTTTCCCATCCGCCTAGTTCCCCTACTAGAACTTAGTTCCCCTATGCGTTAACAGCCCTTACTTAGTATCTATTGTTGCTCATAGATCTCTTACTTTAAAGATGCTTGTATGTTATCCTCAAATGTAAGTTGCTTTGGATAAAAGCAAAATAAGTAAATGTAAATAGTAATGGTATTAGTAAGGAGGTTTTCCGGCACCACATTCTTCCGGTTGACATTGTTTGACTGTTCACAGGTTTGTCCCCTTTTCAATGTTTGTATAGATTTCAACCTCCACTGTTTGTACAACAAAACATGAAAATATAAACAAAAGGAAATTTACGTCTTTATGGATGCAAGTTCTGTCTGAACAAAAATTAGGTTAATTAAACATATCCGATCTACAATAAAAACAAATATTGAGTGAACTGACCTCAGAGTCTCCAGTCTGCAGTGTGGACTCTCCAGAAAACCACACAGCAGCTTCACTCCTGAATCCTGCAGCTTGTTGTCACTCAGCTCCAGCTCTCTCAGATGGGAGGGGTTGGACTTCAGAGCTGAGGCCAGAGAAGCACAGCTGATCTCTGACAAACTGCAGGTACTTAATCTGAATAAAGAATAAAAGATTGGGGAAGCAACAAAAAAAACTTCCCACTGTGTCACCTTGTGACCGAAGTCTGCGATGTCAATTAAGACTGTGATGGACCACAAATGTTACTCTCAAAAGAAACAACAAAAAACACATGAATAGTAATTGACACAACTTTCAGAACAATACCACAGCTAAGTGGAAATGTACAATTGAAGAAATTTACCACCGATCATAAAATCCGCCTTCAACAGACATCATCCAAATTTCAGCACAACATTCATACATTTATTAATTTCAACATGGATCAATAATACAACGTCGATCTCAGGCCAGTATGGAATTAGAAGAATAAACATTATATTGATCTTTTAAATAGTTGCATTGGGAAATATGCTTTGATCTGTGCATGCGTATAAATAATCAATTTCAATGATCAGACATTATTTGTGCAAACTCATTGAAATTCAGGAAATATTTTGGCAAGTAAACTTGATCAATGTAAAAAAAAAATCAGGTTCAGAGGATCTTCTGTATACAGATCTGAAAATTTTCACAAATTATAAACATTAATTTACTTTAACAACCAACAGCAGACACAACTGCAGAATAAAATTTGTAAAATAAACACATTGAACACAAGGACATTTACCACTTTGTGGATAAGTTATGTATTAACATAAATTATGTTGAATTTTCAACATAACTTTACAACACATTTAAAAAACAACACAACACAAAAGTAAAAAATGGTGTCTGACCTCAGAATTTCCAGTCTACAGTGTGGACTCCCCAGAAAATCACACAGCAGCTTCACTCCTGAATCCTGCAGCTCGTTGTCACTCAGGTCCAGCTCTCTCAGATGGGAGGGGTTGGACTTCAGAGCTGAGGCCAGAGAAGCACAGCTGATCTCTGACAAACTGCTCCAACTCAATCTGAATAAAGAATAAAAGATGAACAAAAATCCATTCAGAATCCAATCAGATGTGTTCAGTTTGTAAATGTGTAGCTCAAAATTACTATGTCTTAATCAATGTGTAACTGTGGATCATCATAATGTCAGACTTCTACAGACATCATCCAAATGTCAGCACAACATTCATACACCTATTCATGTCAGATTACATTTCATGCTGATAAAAAGTTCCTATGGGATTCTGTGTTCTAAAGGTTATGCATTAAATTAATTCCTGAAAACCTGTTGTATAGTATAGAAGTGTCTCACACGTAACAAAGATATTGATTTAATTTTGCAGCACACTGAAGGATAAATCATACAGTTTCTTTAATAACATAAATCCAGTTTGAGTACAGACTAAATTCGGAATTGTTGAGACTTTAAATAAGATTTAAGAAATTTCTGCTATGGATTTAAATTTGATTGATATACACGGGACAAGGTGAAAATACATAAACTGACCTCAGAGTCTCTAGTCTACAGTGTGGACTCTCCAGTCCAGTAGACAGCAGCTTCACTCCTGAATCCTTCAGTTCGTTTACACTCAGGTCCAGCTTTTTCAGATGGGAGGGGATGGACTTCAGAGCTGAAGCTACGACTTCACAGAGAGTCTCTGACAGTCCACAGCCAGAAAGTCTGTGATGACAGAGAACATAAAACATAAAGTAGAATAAACAGTTTATTATGAAAACAGACATTGTTTCTCATTGATTGTTCAACTGATTAATGATAACGTATTGGTGTAGATGCGTATAGGAAATATTGAAGTTGGTCCCACCTTTGCCAGCTGCAACATTGGATGAGGAGCACATTGATGCATCACTAATTGTAGTGCAGGCAGTAGTGACATGACCTTGAGGATAACCACTCACATTTCATGATGAGTGTTTTAAGTAAGTTATGTAATTGGCAGTGGTCTACTCAATTAATTAAAACCAGCCAGTAATGAGACATCTAGTTTTTTTTTCCCCTTTTGGGAACTGTTGGATACATTTAGTTGCAACAAATACTGATTAAGCCGGTTGGAGAGCTCGGCGACCGTCAGGCTAAATCAGCGACCGATCTGTGGCCACCAGTAGTTATGTGTGAGCTAATCGGTGACTCATCAAAACGGCACCCCGACACATTTCTGACACATCGCAGACACCAGCCAGATATCTAGCATGCCAAATATCTGGAGGATTTGGCCGACTTGACATCCACATCCAGCCAACAGGAGAAGGCAACTGGTGGAACAGGCAGCTAATTTCACTGCAAAAAACTTTTTATTCACCTCCAGCTCTCTCTGTAGCACAGACATTCATTCATTACAAATATCATAAACCTCTCAATATCTCAAGGGATTTATCCAAACGCATGAAAAACTGCTATTGTGTCACCAATTTTTAAAGCAGGAGATCCCCAGATTATCAGTAACTACAGACCTATTAATATTCTGCCTGTTGTATCCAAGGTGATGGAGAAGTGGTTGTCAGAGCTGACAGTCTTTTATTTGAACAACATTGACTTTGGCTTGCATCCTATGCAGTTTGGTTTTAGAGTTCAACAGCTCAACCACTCAACAGAGACTGCTACCCTTTTCTTTCTGGAAAAAACATTAAATCCATGATGGATAGGAGTGGTACTGTGGGGGCAATTTAAAGAGAACTTAAAAAGACTATGGATCATTATTCACAAATTAAATTTGAATTTTTCCAATGATGAAAATTAAGAAGAAAGTGTCACTCGATCCAAATAAAAAAGAGAAATTAGACTCACTATGATCTGAACAATCGTTATTGTCAGCAAGTCTGACTTGGTCACCTGGGGATTTGAACCCTGGAACTTCATATCTCTGGAGCTTCATATCTCCAGAGTAGGTGACTTAATGACTGAGCCACTGGTGAAAGGCTGTTGCAACACACCTTCTCACAGCTTGAGGTAGTGATGTTACATGTGCCAGACCCAGATAGTTTTGTCAGTTTAAACTTAAAACGCTTACAACAGTCAGAATGTTGGTGAGAAGATTATGAAACAAATCGCACATCATTCTGCTGGTTTTGGGTGTGTAGTCAGTTATTTTGATGGCATTTGATCCAAAACTTAGCAAAAAAGAAAATTTTGTGCATAAAGTTATTAGGGCTGAAACGATTTATCGTTTAAATCGATAAAATTGATTAATAAAATGCTTCGACACAAATTCTTTGCATCGATGCTTCGTTTAATCCATGTAACTATACAGCACAGTGTTTTGCACGGACATTTATTACTGTCGCACATCATGCTTACACTGTGAACATGACAGGATTATAATGTAGCCATTTGCAAAGTGGAGGAAGAGAGAGAAAATGGCGAGGGAGAAAGAAGAAAGTGTCCAAAGTATGTTATTATTTCATGCTAAAGAAAACAACAACTCTGTCTGTGTCACCGTAATCCCATCCCTGCCGCCAAGCATAAGTACTTCTTTAACGACACATCGATGAATTTTATTGTTTGACAAGCAGGGCACAGGCTAACAAAACGTACTATCAAAGTTTTAGATCAGAAAACTAATAGTTTTCACAGCTGTCAATTTTTAAATACACACAGACTTCCAAGTTGGGAAAATTAATTACAGCAACCTTTGTCTAGTTCATAAGATATTGCACAGCACTGCCCCACCTCCGCTAAGGCATCATAAGAGGGGACTGTATCATTCCCACTCGAAGAAGTGCTTTTAGTCGGTCAGCGTTCTCTGCAACAACATCTAAAAAATGGAATCTATTGCCAATGCAGATAAGAGAATCAAATCATTTAGCACAAACTCTTAAGTCCTGAAGTGTTCCTGCTTGATTTGTATCAAGCCTCCATCACCCAAAGAAGATCAGAAGATGATGCCACTAACTTGATAGATATAAACACAGAAACGGATTGTGGACATTTGTAGTTTAACAGATGTAGAATTATTTCCAAACACAGGTTTAATACTAGTTTAGGAAACTTTAATAGTATGGAGGTTTTATATTGTGCATGTGTGTAAAGTGTGTCTTTACTGTAATACTGATGCTTCAGCTTTACGTTGCTTGACAGCATTGATAATCACATCTGGACTTACAGAGCCTTTCTGCAGTTCCTCACAGCTGGAATCAGTCTCAGTCGTCCCTCCTCTGATGTGTTGTACTTCTTCAGGTCCAACTCATCCAGAACCTCCTCTGACATCTGCAGCATGTAGGCCAGAGCTGAGCAGTGGATCTCAGAGAGGTTCTTCTCTGATCTGTTCTCTGACTTCAGGAACTCTTGGATCTCCTGATGTACTGAGTGGTCGTTCATCTCCGTCAGACAGTGGAAGATGTTGATGCTTCTGTCAGGAGAGATCTCATCACTGTTCATCTCCTTCAGGTTGTTGATGGCTCTCTGGATGATTTCTGGACCGTTGTCTGGCCGACCCAGCAGGCCTCCTAAGAGTCTCTGGTTGGACTCCAGAGAGAGGCCATGAAGGAAGCGAACAAACAGGTCCAGGTGGCCATTTTTACTTTCAAGGGATTTCTCCATGGCTCTCTGCAGGAAGACATCCAAGGTTGAATCAACATGTTGTTTTCCCAGGAAGTCCTCCAGTCCCTCTGTGGTCCTGCTGGTGTAACAGTGGAACATGTAGACTGCAGCCAGAAACTCCTGAACGCTCAGATGAACAAAGCAGTAGACTGTTTTCTGGAAGATCACACTCTCTCTTTTGAAGATCTCTGTACAAACTCCTGAGTACACCGAGGCCTCTGCGACATCAAGACCACACTGCTCCAGGTCTTCTTGGTAGAACATTATGTTTCCTTTCTCCAGCTGTTCAAACGCCAGCCTCCCCAGCTTCAGAAGAACCTCCCTGTCAGCCTCCGTCAGCTCCTGTGGACTCGTCTCATGTCCCTCATCGTACTTCTGCTTCTTCCTCTTTATCTGAACCAGCAGGAAGTGTGAGTACAGGTCAGTCAGGGTCTTGGGCAGCTCTCCTCTCTGCTCTGTAGTCAACATGTGCTCCAGAACTGTAGCAGTGATCCAGCAGAAGACTGGGATTAGACACATGATGTGGAGGCTCCTGGAGGTCTTGATGTGTGAGATGATTCTGCTGGACAGCTCTTCATCACTGACTCTCCTCCTGAAGTACTCCTCCTTCTGGGCGTCAGTGAAGCCTCGTACTTCTGTTAACCTGTCAACACATGAAGGAGGGATCTGATTGGCCGCCGCAGGTCGGGAAGTTATCCAGACGAGAGCCGAGGGAAGCAGATTCCCCTCGATGAGGTTTGTCAGCAGCAGGTTGACTGATGACTTCTGTGTGACATCAGACACAACCTCACTGTTGTGGAAATCCAATGAAAGTCTGCTTTCATCCAGGCCGTCAAAGATGAACAACAGTTTCCAGACGGCGAGCTTCTCTGCTGGGACCTTCTGTAATGTTGGATGGAAAACATGGAGCAGCGTGAGAAGACTGTGCCGCTCATCTTTGATCAAGTTCAGCTCCCTGAACGAGAGCAGAACCAGCAGACCGACATATTGGTTTTCCGAGCCCTCTGCCCAGTCCAGAGTGAACTTCTGCACTGAGAAGGTTTTTCCAACGCCAGCGACGCCGTTGGTCAGAACCACTCTGATGGCTCTCTGTTGGCCAGGTAAGGCTTTAAAGATGTCCTGGCACCTGATTGCAGTGTCATGGAGGGTCTCCATCTTGGAAGCTGTCTCAAGCTGCCTCACCTCATGCTGGGTATTAACCTCTTCACTCTGTCCCTCTGTGATGTAGAGCTCAGTGTAGATCCTGTTGAGGAGGGTTCCACTTCCTGTTTCATCACTTCCTTCAGTCACACGTTCACATCTCCTCCTCAGACTGATCTTATGTTCATCTAAAACCTCCCGCAGATTGCTATTCACTAAAAAAAGAGAAAACAATCAACTGATTAAAAATAACTTGAAAAAGGTTATAAATTCCAGTTTGGGGAACATCAGAAATGCTGTTTCTTCTCTGACTGTGTGTTGGTGTACGTGTTTAACTGACAGCTGAGCCTCAGCAGCTCGTCTGCAGCTCTTCATCGGAACTGCTCACTGCGGCTGTTCCTTCCTCCCTGTGATATTTAAAACTGATCTACTGACCAAATAATAACAATAATGTTCATGTCTTTTTGTTTAGGCCTGTTTTCATTTAATAAGACAGCTAAGTGCAGCAAATCTCTCACAAATACATTCTATTTCCTAAAGCTAGTTTACAATAAAAGTCTCCTGCTGGTTTGCTGGCAGAAATCTTTTATGTGAAGCTGCTTCAGAAAATGTTGAGTTTACATCAGCAGCAAATTAAACAACTATTTTTTATGATTGGGGTGAACACAGAGATACCTTTAAAAACTTTATTTTTTAAATTTGAGGGAGGAGACTATTTGTATTTGTGGGTGGTGATTGCGCAAGACACATGCCTTACATGGTGTGAGAGACCCGAGTTCAAACCTCCACTGTGACCCATCCACCATTGTGTCGCTGAGAGACGCGGGTTAAATCCGGGTTCAATCCCCAACTGTGACTCATCCACTATGTGTCCCTGAGCAAGACACTCAACCCCTAGTTGCCTCAGAGGCGTGCGACCTCTGACATGTATACCAATTGTAAGTTGCTTTGAATAAAAAGTGTCGGCTAAATGAATTAATGTATTCATGTGTGCCCCTGTAATCTCAGTCACAGTTTTTGAAGCTGTGACCCGCTCCCCTCACAAAAACTGTTTCAAATAGGGTGACCAGATGACAATAGGTAAAATTCGAGACAGAGTTTGCAATGCGGGCGTAGCTACCAGTATATTAGTATGTTCAGTGCTTTAGTTTTATTCAGTCTATTGTTTAGTGTCGTCTGCTTAAAGGCCTGAGGCCAAAACACAACGCTAAAATTAATTATTTTTGTTTATAAAGTCACCTGTCTGACATTAGGAAAAACACGTCAGTGGGAATGTAACAGTGGGTAAATCATGACGATCTCTCCTTCGTGGCTGCCATTATCTTCATCTACGTGTTACTTTGCTGTTTCATCCAGTAACTTTGTAAGTCTTTTCTGCTATTTGTTTATTACAATTTCCATCAGTGCTGCCTGTGGATGTTTGTTCTTTACCTTTAGGAACAATATATGATGGAGAGAATCTGAGCTCAAAGCTCCACTTACTAATGATTCAAAGCAAAGTGTTCATCAAGGTGAGCAAAGCTGAACTACAAATGCTTTTTCACCACTTGTTGCACAATGATGATCTGAAGTGATTCAAGATGGATCTGTTGGATCAGAACAGCTGATCTGAGGAAGAGCCAAACAGCTCAGTGTTTAGACGATATATGAGAAAATAAATTACACATGTGAAGCAGATTCTTTGAGATTTTGAATCGTTCTAAAACTTTACAGTGACGTCAACATGAGGGCAAAAATATACAAAGATGTTCTTTAAGTGTAAATTCTGAAATGGAGGTTCTCAGATTTTTTGCTACAGAAATAAAATCAGATCCATCTTAGTTTGAAACAGTATCTGCACTAATAGTTCTGCATCAGGAATATAAATCTTTTAGCAGAACATTTTGTCTTCATCATCAATGCATCATCTTCCATCAGGTCAGTTTACAGTAAAAACAGTCTCTTACTTTGTGTCTGAGGGTCCAGGTTCAGGACTGAAGTGTGGAGGTTTATCTTTGGACCGGTCACTCTTCATAGACAGACAGCTGGATACTGCAGACTCTCTGTCCTCCTCTTCCTCCACACAAACAATTCTGGACTTCAGTCAATCTGAGAGGTGAAACAGTAACACTGACTGTGAGCTCAGTGTTAGACTGAGACAACAGGAAGTAACACGCACAAAGATAAACTGCCCTCTACAGTCCACAGGGAGAAAACTGACACAGGGACTTTGACACTAAAATAATAAAAATGTTGGATTAACACCCTGCCTCTGTCTTCAGTTTTCCTCCTTCTGCTCTGTCGACTCTAAATGGAGTCTGAACTCTGACTGAACTCTTTCAGCTTCAGGTTCCCTCCCCGTCCTGGATCACCTGGTCAGTGTGGCTCCTCCCCTCTCTATTTACAGGAAGTCAGGGCCGAGTTCAGCGCCGACAAAACGTAGCAAAATGCTTTGAGACTGAACTCAAATCTGTTTGAACCTCCTCCATTTCTCGCCTCGCGTCCCTCCCACCCGAGATGCGAGGAAAGAGGAGTCGAGGCAACAGGCATTTCATTAAGCAGCAATACGAAAAAACTGTAGTTATAAACTTGACCAACAGGAAGATGAGGAAACAGAGTTAAGCTGAGAGGGGGTTGTAGCCTATTCACTGGTCTGGTCGCTGTAACACAGACCACTAGAGGCGCTGAGGCCACTGGTCCGGACTGGTTAGTGGTGGAGGGTCCATTGTGGACCCCTGGATGTGTTGGCAACATGGTTAGACGATTAAATGTCAGAGATCATAATCCTTTATCTATTATTGTTGTTGCACTGTATATTGCAGTTTGTGTGATTACACCTAAAGCCTAATACATGTATCTTGAGTCAAGATAAGACAAAGATTAAATTAAATCTGCGGGCCTATATTTTGTTAGTACATCTTCGTATTTACTTCTGAGACAGCCCATGTGTATAATTGAATTATTATGAAGTGTTTTCACATATTTAGATCGACTGTTTTACCTGTACAAAAGAAATTACCTGTTTCATTTCAACTAAAATTAATTTCAAATCCAGTTTAACATTTTAAATCAAATTGAACAAAATCCTGATACCATTCTATTTTTGCCAAATGAAGTGAGTTAGACAGAAAACATTCACATCAGCACTTCTCTGTGGGAAAACAGAGGAAGTGCTGACATCTGCTGGCAGAAAGCAGCTCCAGCAGGAGCTACAGAACATGAACACTGTTGATCATTTGCTGTGAAACAGGGTCGCACATAAAACTGTAATTCATTGATGCTGCAGGAAATAGGATGTTAAACATTTTTTCATTTCTAAAACTTTAGATTCAAAACTTGTAAAACATTTGTGGAGAAAATCCTCTGTATGAGTCACTTTGATTTCAAAACACAAAAACAAGGCGCCTGCAGCATAAAGACAGTAAATGAAAAAGATCTTCCACTGTAGAGTAAAGCCTTCAGTTTGCACTGTGCAGGATCATTTAATTTGCAATGTTAAGTATTGCATCATGCTGAGTTGTTACCAAGACCTGAAACTCAAACCGCATACCTGTGACAGTAACATCTCTCTGCTAAACAAGCTCAATAACTTTTTTGCATGCTTTGAAGCACAAAACTCCACACCTGCAAAGAAGACACGCCCCCCACCTGACCACCAGAGTATGTGCTTGACCTGTCGATGTGAAGATAACACTCTCTAGGATCAACAGGAAAAAAGGCTGTCGGTCCAGACAACACATCTGTGTGTTGAGGGACTGTGCAGAACTCAAGGATGTCCTCACTGACATTTTCAACACAACAGAATGTTTTATGTTGGTGGCCACATAGATATTATAATATTTAGCTTGCTGATAAGTGAAGCAGCCTTTAGTCTGAGAGCCACAGAGTGAATCAGCTGCAGCTCCATCATCACCATCTTCTCATGTTACTGAGGACGTCATCAGAAAAGCTGAATAACTTGGACTGAGTTATTATTGAACATGACTTCCTGTATTCAGACCAGTAAATCAGTTTGAGTGTGACAGCAGCTTCTCATCCTGTTTGCAGTTTAAGACTGGAGTCACCTTTCCCTGTAAATGTATGGACTGTTCCTTTAAGTCTCTAAAGTTTCATTCTGCTACTGAGACTGAGCGAGCTCTCGTTGGAAACTAATTCACCTTAATTCTGAAAATAAGTACATTGAGCATTTAATTACAGATAACATGAAACACAGAGTGTGTTTTGAAAAAACATGATTTCTTTGTTTTCCAACAAAAAAGATTCGTGTCTGTAATTTGATCAGTTTTATACATGTGATTAATGACTATAATGTCTAGAATCTATTTATAGTTACAAATTCATAATCATCAGACATTTTTTACATGAACAATATACAAAATAAAATATTCCACCACCTGAATCCAGACATTTTGTTTGTTCCGGTTTTATCGTCTTCTTTCGGTTTGTTACTGAGCAAATATTTATCTGTTTTAATATGACAAAAGGTTTCTATTGGTGGTAATAACAGAACATCAGAGAGGTACCTTTATAGATGCAATATCTACTTCCGCTGTTATTTAGAAATATGTGGAAATGAACTTCAACACTCACATGGTGGAGCTGCGACAGAAAGCAAAACAGAAAACATCAAGTAAATGTGTTAATCAGCAGTTATATTGTCATGAATAGAACTAATCTGCAGAGGCACTTTGTGTTCAGAACATCTGAATGAAATAAAGTCCATGTGGAGGTACAGGTGGAGGAGGTGGCTGCTGCTTCAACCTCTCTGGATCATCAGGACACAGCTGATCCTCTCTCAACACCACCACCTTTCTCATCACTCTGACAGAGATCAGAACTTCCAGCTGATGAGAGAAGACAGACAGCAGAAGTTATAAATCAGAGTTTACAGAGACTCCATCAGCTGTCAGTGATGCAGCACATCCAGTATAAAGACCAGCAGTGACTTCTGATCTGACTGGCTGACTGTTCTCTCTCTCTGTCTTTCTGTCCAATCCTGAAGCCTGTCACCATTCTCCTCTCACAGCTTTACTGAGGAAAGCAACCACTGAGAAGGTTGGAGGTTTACAGGAAATACTTGATCTCTGCTTTGATACCAACTGTGTTTAGTACAATACTGCTGAAACCAGCATAGACGGACTCCAACCCTCTACTGACCTCAGAGTCTTCAGTCTGCAGTCTGGATTCTCCACAAGATTAGACAGCAGCTTCACTTCTGAATCCTGCAGCTCATTGTGACTCAGCTCCAGCAGTCTCAGATGGGAGGGGTTGGACTTCAGAGCTGAGGCCAGAGAAGCACAGCTGTTCTCTGACAACCAGCAGTGCCTCAATCTGAATAAATAAATTATGTAACGTTAGAAGACAATGTTCCTGCTTGAAATCATTCAGTGTTTAATAATCTGTTCAGAGCTGAAGAAGGTTTAAAATGTAGAAGTTTAGAAAATGGAAACTCCAAACACCTGAAGGTTGAAACTATAAAATACAAAAAGGTAAAAAGAGGTCTTTAAGATTTGACTCATGATCCCAAAGAAGGTTAAAGTCAAGGGCAACTGGACTTGGTTGAAGATACTAGAAGATGTTTCGAAACATGGACATTTATATTGAGTGGACAGTAGTGCATATTGTGAGATGTAGGCTACATAGGTGTCGCTAGGCCCTTTTTACTGGGGCACGTGCCCCCCACTGTTTATGTGCTGTGCCCCAGTAAAAAACGTACACTCCTACACTTGCTGTGTGGGTATGTGTGCTTATGCTATTCTTGCCCTGACCCCTAGGGTCTCCATATCATATAGCTTCATAACAATGTTGGAAAAAGCAAATACTGACTAGGCTATATTTGTTTATGTTGTCTGACCAGCAGTGATAGGCTGGTGATGGAGCAGTGGATAAAACACATGCCTTTGGTGTGAGATACCTTGCATCGATTCCCACTCTGAGTGTGTCCCTGAGAAAAACACTTAACCCCTAGTTGCTCCACAGGCGTGCGACCTCTGACAAGGTGTTTTGGATAGCAATTGTAAGTCCCTTTGGACAAAAGCATCAGATAAAATGAAAAAAACAATTCATTGAATTTTTGGATTTTATCAGGAGTTTAAGAGGTCCAGAGTAGATTTTCCAGTGTAAATCCTTCTTGTTATACTAAGGTTTTAAATGTGGAGCTCAACATTGCTACCTCACAGTCAATGCACTAAACCACTGAAGAAGAAAATAGAATTTAGTATTAAGATACTCAGTGTTGTGTGTAGTGATACTAAGTGTTGTCGCATAAATACTGTTTATGATTACCTGGGGAACACATGGCACCACAATGCACTATGGGAAGAAGGCAAGCCAGTGGAGGCAGAGTGATGCTTTGGGCAATTTTCTGCTGGGAAACTTGGGGTCCTGCTATTCATGTGGATGTTACTTTGACAGGTACCAACTACCTAAACATTGCTGCAAACCATACACACCCATTATGGAAACGCTATTCCCCGATGGCAGTGGCCTCTTTCAGCAGGATAATGCACCCTGACACAAAAATGGTTCAGGAATGGTTTGAGGAAAACTACCAAGTTCAAGGTGTTGACTTGGCCTCCATATTCCCTAGATCTCAATCCATGCGAGCATCTGTGGGATGTGCTGGACAAACAAGTCAAATGGAGGCCCCACCTCACCACTTCCGGTGAGGACAAAGGATCTGCTGCTAATGTCTTAGAGACAGATACCATAGTACACCTTCAGAGGTCTAGAAGAGTCCATGCCTCGACGGGTCAGTGATGTCTTGGCAGTAAAAGGGGGACCTACACAATATTAGGCAGGTGGTCAAAATGTTATGGCTGATCGGTTTATGTGTACTGTGTTCATTCATAAATGTAGTTCTTATGGCGTAAACAAGACGTAAACAAATCGTGGATGCATCAGAGAAACCAGACATTCCCCAAGCAATAAACACCCGTTTCATAGAACCAACCTGTGTCTGTGTTGTTGTGAAGAGTCTGCAGTTTATTCTCACCACAACTTTCATATCATATCAATCTGAGACAGAAGTAAATAATGGAGTCTGACCTCAGAGTCTCCAGTCTACAGTGTGGACTCTCCAGAAAACCACACAGCAGCTTCACTCCTGAATCCTGCAGGTTGTTGTCACTCAGGTCCAGCTCTCTCAGATGGGAGGGGTTGGACTTCAGAGCTGAGGCCAGAGAAGCACAGCTGATCTCTGACAAACTGCAGCCCCACAATCTGTATATGGAAAAAAATATACAACTTTAGAAGACAATGTTCCTGCTTGAAATCATTCAATAATCTGTTCAGAGCTGAAGAAGGTTTAGAATGTAGAAGTTTAGAAAAAGTAAACTCCAAACACCTGAACCCAACAGGGTACCCCTGTAAATACAAAAAAAAATAGAAA